TGTATGGGAATTTGTCGTATGTGCCACATACGACAAACGTTTTATGATTAAAAAAAAGGTACGTTTGTATGGGAATTTGTCGTATGTGACGCATTTTCAGCACATACAACAAAAGGCATACCCAATCATTAATATTATGTAACATACGACAAAATGCGCACGAAATATCTCAAAAACTAATGGAGATATAAAAAAATGGATTGCAGAAATCGAAAGAGCATGTCCAACTTAGTAAATCTGCATCAAAATCCCAAAATCGTGATTTTGCACATTCGTCATCCGTTTTCTGAGGCGACGATATGTACATACTATGCACATGTGACACATATGTAAATGTACATACAAGCCGTCATCGAATCGCCACTTCTCGCTCGCTATGTTTGAGTTCCGGTCTCTTAAAGAAGAATTTTGCATGTGAAAGCAACAACAAAGTTAGCTAGCACTGATAGACGATAGCGAGTTTGGTTGTACCTCATTGAGTTCGTTCGTTTCACCACTCGCTAACTGTTGGCGAATCGATGACGGCTATGTATACATATGTACATATATACATACATATATATATATATACAAAAACAAATCGCTTTAATGATTTTCTCGAGAACGGGACGAGAAAAAAATTTAAAAAAAAATCACACGTCAAAATTCTATATGAAAAGAAATATTTAACTTTAATTTAATTAAGGCGACACTAAAATTAGTTGCAGCTTTTTTGACAGATATTCCATTGAAAAAAAGCTGCAATTAACTTTAGAGCCGACTTAATTTTGACTCTAACTACGGGCCTTTGTTTCCCAAATCCGTGTCTAAGGATGGGAAAATACTGACTACATCTTAATAAGTTTGTTAAGGTTAACCGAGTTTCTCTTCCATAGATTTACTGTGTAAAAATGTCCGCTCTTTTCGGTGGATACATTTGGATACAGTTTTCGATTTTTTATGGATACTTTAAAGGCTAAGGCAGTGGCAACATTGGATGGGAATAAGGACAGCCTGGCGGAGATATCGGATACAAAGCTCTTGGATCTTCTCAATTTAATTTTAGATAGCTATTGGTGCAGTAAGTTAATGCTCAAATTCATCTCAGAATAGCAGCCCCGGTTAGGGGAATGTGTTTGCTTTTGAAACTCACTCAAAGATGGCACTCACAATGAACAGCTAAGCCTCCGAGTGGATGTATGAATTTTTCCAATACACGCCCTTCTAACCTAAACCAGAAAGTTAGGGGGTTCTGATAGTAGATAAGCTATTGCCCACCTGAAAGTTCAACTAACTCTGTGCTTATAAAAAAACAGCCAGAGGTAACTGTATGTATTACTGTATGTAGTATTAATCGAAAGCACCAAATATCCTAAAGCCAACGATTTTCCATTCTTGAAAGCGAAATTAGAATCCAATTGCGAGTTGCTCGACATGCATACATGTACATACATACATATGTGCGTATGTATGAAAGTACACTACTCTGAACTTTAGACATACCTTAATATGTAGATATTGCACTTGTGTGCATTAGTATGTGTATGCACTTAAGTAAACTATAGTGAATGAAATAAGCATGGCAATTACCGACGCCAAGAAGTTCAACGATTTCGTTAATGCCGCAAAGCTAGGAAAAAATCGTGCGTGGGTGGTCGCAAATTGCCACAACGTGACCACAATTTTAAAATTAATTACGTTAGAATTCTACCACAGAATAATGCAAAAACAACAGTGCTAATGCATATGCTTGAATTGAATATATGTATGTATGTACGTTTGAATGCAGTGCTGATACGACTACTTTAATATATACTATACATACACACATACATATATGTATGTATGTATACTGCTGCATTTTTAATATTCTGCAAATTTGGCTAGACCATTATTGGTATGAGTCACTTTGTTTTCCACTAATTGCGACAAAAATTCCAAATTCGGTGCATACTCAGCCCATAATTGCCACTTGAGTATGGCACGTCTTAAGCCCAACTCGGCCAGTTACCTAAACAACAACACCCCAACCAGTGTTGCCAGTTTAGAAATTTGCCGGCTAGATTTAGTCGGTTGCGATAGCAAACAGCCTGACCAAATTCGATTTAGCCGGTTAAGAAAAAAAGAAGTTAGCCATTTTTAGCCGATTTCGCTTATTGGCGTATTTTATTAAAATTCAAATATTTGTATATATAAGTTTCCATTTTTACAAATTTGGCAACCCAAAATCTATTAGAAACTGCTAGCCTTAACTCGGAGAAAATTTTCATGTCGAACTGTGTGAATATAAAATTGAAAGAATTTTCTCTAATCTAAAAAGTCTTAAAATTCTGGGCCGATTTCAATGATTTTTATTTTATGTGAATATATAGTGACCCAAATATGAACTGGGACACGACATTTTAGCTTATTACTTACAAACACCATTAAAATCTCAATATCAAATTTTATGCAAAAATTATAAAAATTCTGCATTTTTTTAATTTACATTTTATCTATTTATTTATTTATTTATTTAAGGTGGCTGGCAGTTACCGTTGATTTTTGGCAGTTTTTACTTGACGTTGTTCCGCATTTTTTTCCATATAAAAAAAAATTTAGAACATACATAGAAACAAGGAAAAACATTCGCAACACCGTTACAAAATTTAACGGTATGTCCTAGCTACTTAAAATTTTCACCTTATTATACTAAATTTTAATGGACTACAAAACTGTATACCTTAAATTTTGAAAAGATTCTGATTAAAAATTTAAAAAATTTGGTGAAATTTTGCGGAATTTTCATAATTTTTGTACAAAGTCTGAAATTAAGACTTCTATACTTTCATACAAAAATAATAAACATTAAATAAACTAAAAAAATTCAAAGAAGGACGTAGCGGGGGACTTTCTTTATACAATTTTTTTATGAATGGCTTAAATTTAGGTGCGAAGTTTTATTCTCAACACTGAGAAAATAACGAATAAGAAGCAAAACTCAATGGGAAGAGAATACTTGTGAATAATTGTATCATGGTGCTTATTATTGATCTCAGACCGGCATGTGAGAGAGTGAGTAGGACATTAAAAACAGGAATTTCGAACATCTCGCACACCTAGATCTAAAGAGCGATCAGCTCAAAAAAATTTGGGCGTTTTTTTTTTGCATAAATCAATTCTTAAAACCTACATGCAATTAATGAAAATATTTTTTTTTCTTCATGATTATATACATTAACTATAAAACTACTTTCATACCTGTTTTTGTATAAATTGCGTTGAATCTGTACAATCCACAAGCAGTTAAATTTTCCTCTCTGAATTTTGAGTTATCTCACTTTAGATATACATAGGTGCGCGATAGGGGCATAAAAATACAACTAAATAGTTGAATTGCTAAAAACTTAAAAAGCGGCCGAGCGAAAATAATAGCCTTTTCTTTTCTCGAAAAAATGTTTGCCTCTTTTCTTCAGCCCTTTCGCAATAAAAAAGTAACCCAGTGCAAGGCAAAAATTTTCAATAAAAAAGAAAATGCCATAAGTTTGCAATTGATCTCTTTTTATATTTAAGTAACTTCTGACGTACGTACGACACTTTCATTTGTTCAACAAAAATGATTTGTAACTAATTTACCAGTCTCTGTTTTTGTGATTCATTTAACGAGTGGGGTGAAGCTTAGCTTAGTATAACCAATTTAATTTATTGAATTTTAGTTAAAACATTTTAGCCGCTTTTAGCCGTTTTTTTTTTGCCCAATGAAGCCGGTCGGCTCAAGAAGTTCTGGCAACACTGACCCCAACCTAACACGGCGATTAGGCGTAATAGGTGGGCATGAGTTGCACACTACTTGCATGCAGACATACATAGATATGTATGTATGTGTGTATGTGGGAGCATATATTTACTTTTGTGGGGCATATGGAGTCACAATGAGTCCAAGTTTACTCGCCCCATAATTATTGTGGCGTCTAGTAGTGAACGGCGATGGAAAAGCAAATGGCTTCGTTGAAACGTGATCGATTGATTGACTAACGCGTTGCATATTAGCGGAAAGCACCTTCTTGCTAACTACATATGTTTGTATGTATGTATGTGGTTTGCTCATAGTTCTAGTGGTGCATATTTAGGCAAATAACTATTCACCGGTGAATAACGCTGTTTGCACGTTTGATAATGAAAATGAAACTGCACGAAATCGCACACCAAGAAAAACCAACAGACATATCAACATATACATACGTATGTACATACATACATAGTATGTATGCCTATGCAATTATGTTCGTCAAATATACAAATTTATTAATATACATACACACCTACTACATACATACATACATATGTGCTTATTTATGTATGTATGTATTTGTTTTCATGTGGGATGATCACCTGGAGCCAGCAAATCATAACGGCAGCAACAACGCCTTCATCCTTAGTTAGGCGAGTGTGTGTGTGTTAGCAATAACAACATCTAAAACAATTGTTGGTAATAACATCGCTAGCTACAGTAAACACTACAATTTTGGCTACCATTAATTTTGCACACGTTGTTGTGGCATCATGGGATGCCGTGAGTAAATTTATTGGACAGTGGGTCGTTTTGACGAGGACATTTTTGAAGATGCCCAATCCTAAACATGAAAAGTTTGAAGATTTCTTAATTTAGGCGAATATTTGAGTTTTCGTAGTCATTTACCGATTGCAAAATTAAAGCCTTTCCATACGGGAAATATACCCAGCAACTGATGTGTTTATTTTCTTCAAGGAAATATCTCCAAATTCCAAAGCTGTTTTACTTGTGACACAATATTTTTTATGTGTAAACATCTTGTCTCTCGGTATGGGTAAAATAAGCTTTAACCCAGCAGGAAATCTGTAATTGCTCCCTGGGTGTACAAATTAACCTTTCTCAGCTAGTTCAGGGCTATTTCAGGACTAGTTCACATCTAGTTAAGGATCCATCTCGGGATCATTTCGCGACCGTTTCGGGACCTGTACAGGACTATTTCAGGCCCATTTCGGGACTAATTTGGTATAACTTTGAGACCTGTTCAGGTTCATTTCGGGGCTAGTCCACGACTACTTGAGCCCCATTTTGGGAATAGTTCTGGGCCAGTTCGATACTAGTACAGGAATATTTCAGCAACACTTCGGCACTAGTTCGATAGAGTTTTGGGAGGAGTTCAGTACCATTTCAGAGCTACATATTTCAGGGCCATTTCGGGCCTAGTTCGCGCCCATTCGGGACTTGTTCAGGATGATTTAAGGACTATTTCAGAAACATTTCGAGACTAGTTCGGAATTATTTTGGGACTAGTAAGAGACCATTTCGCAACCGCTTCGCCACTGGTTCGAGATCCTTGCGGTACAAGTTTCCCACTTTTTCACAACCACTTCAGAACTACTTCAGGGCAGGGACGCGGACTTTTATAACTTTTATAAGAAAAGTCGTTAGAAACAAGTTATTTCTGGACTTTTATTTTATTTGAACCCGGACTTTAATTTTTTTAGTCCAGTAATAAAAGTTATAAACTTAGCCAAATATTTTCTAAGACCGAAATAAAAGTCCTTTCCTAATAATAAACAAGCCGCTTATCCAAATTAAATAAATTTCGTATCAAATGATGAATATTTGGCCATGCTTAACTTTTACTAATGGACTAAAAAATAAAAGACCGGCTTTTTTAGTTATTGTTGGATCCTTTTCCAAAAAATTCGAAAAATGAAAGGAATCCTGGTTTCTTGTCCAGGAGGCCCTGAGAGCAAAGAAACGTTGATAACTTTCTTCTACGACAATATTTTGCCCCGGACTGTTATTTTCGGTTCCTGCTTCAGACTTCACAGGTTCACTGACGAGTTGTGAGTCCACATGAACACATGTGTGATATATTTAAGCTATGTTTTCAACAAGTTGCGGCACCGTGGCAACGCCATGTCCTACCATCTAGAACCGCTCATCGATTGCTACGCGCATAGATTATCTTCTATGCATTTGTATGTGCAGCCACATGTGTGTTTCTGATACATCATCGACGCTAATGATTATGTGTTATCATGGCGTGGTGTAATTTTACATAGAACTCTAATGGCGCGCCAACAAATAACAAGAATGTGTTACTTCAACACCAACCACAGCAGCAAGAGTAACAGCAGTTACAACGCAACAGCAAAAGTGGCAAAATCGACAAGAAATCAAGACCATGGACACAAAGTAACCGAACCACCAACAACATATCAATACAATAACAGGCTATATATATACATATATAAACAAGTACGGGCAGGGGGACAACGCTTCCAAGCTAAAATAGGGGCAGCGCGATGCCGCAGTCAACTACACGATTTCGAAGACGACGATGATGACTACGATTGCCTTCAGGTTATATGGTTTAGATCATACAAGCAGACACTAACTACGATCATCATCAAGCGTTAACAAGCTCATTTTTCTTAAGTTGGCAGTCCAGCAAAGCGGGGAAAGCAGCAACCCGGCTGTTGGAATTCGCAGTGAAAGAGAACTTGTAAATTTGTGATAATCAACCGCGAAGCAATCATGTTTGTTTGAAGCTGGTAATCATAAATCGATAATGGGCGCTACAACAGCGCCAAACAAACGTCATCACTATCCAAATAACAAAAAAAAAAAAACAAGCACAAAAGTTTAATGGACCTTTGTTGAAAAAGCATAGTTAAAATAATAAAGAATCTTCTCGCGCGTTGAGTGCCAAGTAGGCGAACGTGGCGTATTGAAAGCCCCCAGCTTATCACGAGTGTTTTGGGTTTTAATTAACTTACCTTATATTTTTTTTAAGGAGAAAGGTTTTATAAGTCTGCATTTCAAAACGAATTTTTATTGAAATGGAACCTCTTTAGCGGCAATTGGTAGTAAATTGGCAAATACAATGGAGATGATTGAGATGGAATCGGTTGGGGCGGAAATGGTTGTGGCGGCAACAAATGCTTCCTTAAACGTATGCGCGCAGTATTAATTTAACAAAACATGCTAATACACATTTTAAGAATAAGATTAAAATTAAGACTAATAGAAGAGAGAAGAGAGAGAGGTGAGTTCATAAACGAAGAATAAAGGATAAAGTCAAATAAAAACAAAAACAAATATTCGTAAAGACAAAGGCAAAGATGGAGATCAAGGTAAATTTAAACGCTTTACTTAAGTATGTATATAAGGAAAATATGAGGAAGAGATTATCGATAAAAGTCAAGATAAAGACAATGGAAAACCCGATTAAGAGAAAATAATAATAAGGAAAAGGATATAGAGATGCAGATATAGAACATACCGCTCATGTACTCACCACACCTTAACTCACAACACCTTAAATTTACCACACCTAAACCCACCACACCCAAGCTCACTACATAAAAATTCACCACACCCAAACTTACCATATCCAAACTCACCACACCCAAGCTCACTATACCCAAATTTACTACACCTAAGCTTACCATACCCAAACCCGCCACAACTGAGCCTACCACTCTTCAAACCATCAAATGATATGAGATCACATGATATGATATCACATCAAGTCGTTTAAAGTATAAAATGCGCGTTTCAACAAAATGCAAAAGGGGGTATTTGAGGTTTCAGAAATTATTTTCTAGATAGTAAAAACACTCATATTTCAAAATGGTTCTCTCTTTTATAAAGCAATCGCATTTCTGGCTAGTATATTTCAGGGCGAATGGATAAGGATTGAGTCAAGAGCTTTTGTGAGCAAACCCAATTTTCGGCAGGAAATGTCAGTTACGCGGTTTTGCAGAATGACGATACGCGGTTTTGTACTTTAAACGACGATAAATAATATCACACAACATGACGTATCAAATCAAATCACATTACATTACATCACATAACATCATCTCACCTCACCTCATCTCGCTTCGTCCACACGCCCAGGTGCTCTTACTTTTTTTAGCCGGTTTCTTTTAGATTTTCGGTGAATTCTCCATTCGACGATAAAAAATAATTTTTAAATAGTTCTACTGGAATAGTTACAATACTTCCTCGGCAAACGTTTTCAGGTTTTTGGTGAGCTTTCATTTACTGACATTAGGGTAGTACATTAAGTTGATGAAAACTGTTATGTATGTACATACATATGTATGGAGAGTGACGTCACACAAAAATTATTCTCAAAAATTCTCTCTGATGGGCGTAATCTTGTATTGTTGTATATTATTGCCGTAACTGCATACCCACTATACATAACACATTGCACTTCACACCGGGTACGGTAGGGCTTCGATAACCCAGCACACTTAAAATTGCCGCATTTAGGAGCGGAGAAGCTTTTGCTACCACAGGCAAGAAGCTTTTTGCATGGGAAGTACAATACCTTTATGTCAATAAATTAGAGCACTTCTCTCCAAACAACAGCTTGAGGAATCGTTTAAAATGAGTGGCTGAACGTCTTTACACATTAGCTTTTGAGACATCACTTGCGATCGCACTGTACGTTGTTTGTACGTCCAACAAAACCGATAGTGCTTCTTCTGCCTGTGCATCCTGCCAGCATGCAGTATGTAAATACATATGTACATACGTGCGTTGAGCTACATACATACATAAGTGTTGCATCATGCACCTCTTCCTAAATACACATGTCCATATATGTATGTATGTATGTACGCTTGAAAATTTAAAGGCCACAACCATTCACCATTCACCACTCAACAAGAAACGATTCCCGAACGATCAGATGCTGTCGCGATGCGTTCTGATCTGATGCTCCTGCTGACGGTGGCCAGTAGTGGGGCTGCTGTTATTGCTGCTGCTGCTGCTGCTGCTGCTCTATTCTTGCTGCGTTTTGCCGCATTGCACTTAAAGCGCACTGGCTGACATTCGATGCGGCGTTTTGTTTATTTTTAAGCTATAATTTAGGCCATAATTGCACGCCAGCGGCCAGAATTTGTAACTAAACTGCAAATTAGCAGCCAATTCCACAGCCGATTAATAACCATAATTATTGGCTCAAATGCTGACGAAGATGCAGAGGCAGCCGCAGCCGCTAGTGCGAATGCGAATGCGAAGCATCTTCAAGTAACGCATAACTGGGCATACATACACGAATATATGTACGAATATATATACTATACATATGTATGTATGCGACGCGACGTGAAGGCGGGCGTGGCATTGGATGTTAGCGCTGGCGTTGATGATGATGCACACCAAAAGCTTGGATTCGTCAATGGCGAAATCGTGACACACCGCGGCGCATGAAACATCTCGGCCGCAGTACGCGTTAACAGTATGGCAAGTCAATTTTTCGTAATTAGTCAGTTGGGCTTTAAAGGAAATTTTAGTCCGTGATGCTACGCCAATTTCACTGGTGTTTTGTGAATAAGTTAATATCACAAATATTGCTAGAATTCACATCTTCAAAATAGAAGATTTACTTAATTCATTCTTTGTTAAATTTTGGCTTGCAGGTGAATGTCTGGTTGTTTTTATTTGGCTTACGGTATACTTCTTCTTCTTCTGACAGGCTCATGAGATGGTAACAAAATTTACCGGTTACAAGAGTGTGGAGAATACGAAAAGGGTTTAAAAATTGACAGTAACTTTACTAACCGGTAACAAAATTTTTGTTACCAACGCAGAATAGGCCTGAGAGTGTGATTTTTGTTTCACGAGAGAGAACTTTAATTCTCAGTTGCCTACTACTCAGTCCAAAGTAGCACTTGCTGGCAAGAGTGATTCTGCGTTGAATTTCCATGCTGGCATTATACATATTATTATACTAGCATACCATTAAAAGCCACTGTACGTGATGGACATTCTGATATGCACGCACAGGTAAATGTGCTGCTAATGGATGCTTAATCAATAGCCTCTTGATGCTTCCTGTTTAATGGTATGGTTTCGTAAAGCAAATTCTTAGCTCCAGTTGGCCTAATTTGCATGGCGTGTTAATCGTTTTGGAGAAATATCAGGAAACCAGTTGTGATTTTTGTTGTAAGAGTTTAAGGTTGTTACAGAGTTTTGGGAATGCTGCTGGACTGTGCAGCTGTGCAGTTTTATTTTTAACCAGCCAATGCCTGCTTGCCATTGCCTGCAAAAACATCCATGTTCCTGGGACCAGAAATCGACCGTTAGACCTTTAATTTGGGCTGAATTCACGGTTGCCACACACTTAGAAGAAATGTTACCAAAATTTTTTTAAAATATTACCAAAAAGTTACCAAAAGTATTAAAGCCTTTTCCTTTTGTAATAAACAATGGGCGTTACATTTATACTTTCAAGCTTATATGAAAGTTGCTACATAACTGTTTTATTTATACATCGATTGTCTTTTTTTGGTAGCTTGACTTCATTACAAAAAAAAATTTAAAACTCTTATTTATTTTATTTTATTTATTTATAATTTTTTCCCCATTAGCGAGCCGTACGCTGTAGAAGTTAAATGTGAAAAGCCTGTCCAAAACTGTTCAAAATTACTTTAAAAAACATCCACGTTTTTTTACAAGCGAAAACCCCTATTTTTAATTTCAGTACAACTTCTAAAGTTGAACCATTTTTTTTAGCTAAATAAAGATAAATTGCAAATATCTCGAAAACTTGTCCACTGGAAAAAAATTTACTCGACTTTCGGAATCAGCGAGCTATTCTACATAGTGGCAGAACGAAAATTAAAACTTGTGATCCGGTGAAATCAGTGATTCATAGATTTTCACCCCTTTGGACCAATTCCTTGCATTTTTATTTGATTAAATTTAAATATATTTCATAACCATTTTTTTTAATCAATTTTAAATAAACTTTAAATCAAGAAAATAAATAAACTACTATTTTGTATGAAAATAAATCTCTTTCAGGCAAGTATAGCTTCATTGTTCCAGAGGTTAATATTGAAACCTCGTCTTATATTTCACTGCATGTCGTTCAGACAATTTTTGGTGGAAAAACTCAAATAATAATCTTCTAAATTTGAAAGACCGCAGCCTACACAATAACCCTAGCTCCTCATGGCACGTGTGTATGTACATACATAGATATGTGAATTAGAGTGGTTCAAAAAAATACCATTTTTGGAAATTCACAAACGCTACCTCGAATTATTGTTATTTGGGATAAAAAAAAGAGACACGTATATTTTTGTTTAAAAAAAAAAAAACTTTTTTAGAGGTCGCGCTGGTCGTTTTTTTCATTAAAAAGTAGATGCTGTCAATTTTTTTATTTTCGTGATATTTTAAAGTGCAGCTAAAAATTTCGTTTTTACGTGTACTTATTCTAGTATTATTGGAGATTATTTCCTAAATTACATGTTTGTATTGGACATTGTGAACAGGCCTGGCGCTCGAAATTATGCTTTCGAGAAGGCAATGCTATAATTAAAACGTTGATACTGACCGTTTTACGCATTACAACGAGTTAAATCTGGACACTAGGCTGTTTTTTAGGTCGCTGATTATGAATCTGAAATCAACTTTTCAAAATTAAAAATGGCGGATCCAATATGGCGATCACTTTTTTAAAAACTGATTGGATTCTCTCGAAACTTGGTACTCAGGAGTTTCCAGAGTTTCTGATTACGAATCTGAGGTAAAATTTTCAAAATTAAAAATGGCAGGCAGGTGGCAGGCATAATATAAACTGCATTCCTATTGCTCACTTTTGTTCTGTCTAAAGCACCACAAACATCGTCTGTCATTTGCATTATTATTGCTGTTAAAATTTTCATTGCAAGGATGTATCATCTTAATTTCAAAATTCGTTCGTTTTCCTTTTTTATCAAATTTGATGTTATGATTTTCACAATCACCTAATAATTTCTTATGCACTATTTTATTTTGTCTCATTGAATTTAAAAGTGCTTTGACAGGATCTGTTAGTTTATTTTGGATATCCTTAGACATAGAAATAATGTCAAAAAGATTATCCAGTTGATCAGTGAAAGTATTGCGCTTTTGTTTGACGCATGGAGTTGTTTTGTTCTTGTCCTTTTGTAATTTAAGCCATAATTTATGTAACTTTTTATGCTGACAATAGTGTTTCGTTCGTCTCTGCATGGGATGTTTTTGACTGTCCAAAAAGAGATTACTTCCCTGCTTGGTATACGAGCCCGTTCTAGCTAATACATGCCGTTGAGATGGTAGTATGCAACTATTTATTTCTTTGATTGTAGTCCCAATAAGCCAAATCTCTTCAGTTTCGAATTTGCTTTTACCACTAGCCATTTGCATTTAATCTTGAATAATTGACAGGAAATTTAAAAAAAAAATTAGTCCGAATATTTATAGGGAAATATCAGAAACTACTTTTATATGTGTAAATTACATTGCTACAGTAAGGATGCAGATCAGTATAAATTATACTGTATTTTTTTTTTTTATTAAAAACTTTTTTCAACTTTATTGAAATAAAAAAGTTTAAAATGATCTTCATTGTTTTTGTTTTTTTGCTTATTTCTTTCACAATACACAATGTACATATACTACCTACTTATGTGTGTTTAATAACTAAATCTTATTAGATTTATAATAAGTGGCCTGAAAAATCCCAGTGTGCAGTGTGCTTGAAACGTTCAGTATCAACGTTTTAATTTTAGGATTTATTTTTTTTTACTCTAAAGCCATATTGGATCCGCCATTTTGAATTCAAAAAAATTGATTTCAGATTCGTAATCACTGACCCCAAAAACTCCCAAGTGCTGAGTTTCGAACAAATCGAATAATTTTTTTTAAAAAATTGATCGCCATTTTGAATTTTGAAAAACTGACTTCAGACTCCTAACTAGCAAACCCAGAAACCCCCCGGTAGCAAGTTCCAACCCATGACAATGCTAAAATCGTTCAGTATCAACGTTTTAGTTTTAGTTATGCTCTTTTCGAAAGCATATTTTCGGGCACCAGACCCATTCTAACTGTCCAAAACAAACATGTAATTAAGGGAATGTTCCCCAATTATACCAAAGTAATTATTTGCAAAAAAAACATTTTTAGTTGTATTTTAACATGTCACGAAAATAAAAAAAAATTGAGAACATCAGCGTTTTTATAAAAAACCGACCGACTTTTTTTTCAAAATAAAAAAAAACGTTTCTCTTCTCTTCAAATTCATTTAAAAAGAAATTAACTGTGTGGACGTAACTTTGCCGCAGATATTGTATGATATTCAAAAATATTTTAATGTTTTTAATCATTTTGTCTGACAGTTACCAAATGAGATTGGAAGTTACCAAATTATCAAAGAGAATAAAAGTTACCAATATTGGTAATATTTTACCAAAGTGGCAACCGTGGCTGAATTTGTAATATTTTTACGAATATTAAAAAAAGCACCAGCATCTCCTAACAGTAAAATGAATAACGAAGCTTCGACCGGCGAGCAAGAAACATTATTTTTTTTTTTAATTTGAATCGGCATACCTACAATAAAATTTTGTATGCATACAAAGTCCATTAAATCGTCCAATAAAAAATTTGGTGCTTTTTTCGAGAGAAAACGCAATTTTTCTTGGGTTTTAGTGCTTTTTCTAATTCAACACTTGGCAACAATGGCGATAATCGACTAATAATCGTTTATCTACTACTAGTCGACACCCGCAATAGGGCTGTTTGTCTCTCGCCAAAAAATGCGGCTGTTGATTTTCCCTGCAAAAATGCAGTAATTTCACTGGTTTTTCGAAAAGTGTTATAGGCCAGATATTCGTATAATAACAATATTTTGGCACTAAGTGTTTGGCCGAGCTTCTCCTACAATTTGTGGTGTGCGTCATTGCATTTTTAAATTCACAACAATAAAATGCACACGGTTGCCATGGCAGCAAGCACAAAGTTTGCAAATGCAATTCCCAGACTATTTCCACAACATCCTGAAATCAAAGACCATTTCACAACGCCTTGAACAGCCCTACCGTTTTGCTTTGTAAAAGGATTGTTTTCGTATTTTTAAAACCACGCAAGAAGTACCAGCAGCATGCAACTGTGCAGTGCGCCGATGGCTGCGTCACCTAGCGTATTTGTAGTGTAACTCAGAAAATGGTATGCTGGCAACATACAGCCATTTTATTTTATTGGCTTGGCGTTTTGCATAAATAAAAGGTTTTTTTTTTGATATTTCATCAGCCAGGCGAATTGGACGTAGCAGCGGATTTGTGCGAGCGGTGAAGTGCTTTTTTTCTTTGATATAATTTTTGTAAAATACATACATAGAATATTTCTGACTGAAATATATTATCTCTGTGACTATACTTAAATTAGTAAATCTATATGGACATTGTCTGTTGTGCGTTTAAGTGGTGTGCTACATATTAGTGTGTTACAATTAATTATTTGCATACTGTGGTGGNCAAAAAAAAAAAAAAAATAAAAGGTTTAATTAGTTCAACGATTTGTTTTCGCCCATTTATTGGAAATAAACTGAAAATAGTGCTGACATAGTAAGTTAAAAAGTGAGAAAATTTATACGTTTTAATTGGTATTTATTTTTCGCTCGCAAAACGTGTGGAAAAATTTTCCGATTCTTTGCAGTCAAATGCCAATGGTTTGTCATCGTCATCGCAAAAATAAGAAAAGCGATCACCATTGAAAAAAAGTGCCTACCTACGCATTGAACAAATTAAAAAGTGTTTTGCTTTGAAAAGGGCAACGTAATTAAAAACAAGTGCGTACACTTATAAATTGTTTATTTATTTAAGAAGTCTCGCGCATCGAATTGTATAACATGCGACCAAGATGTTGCGTTTAATCTAAAGAATGGTCTATACGACGCATATTGGGAATAAATACTTTCAAGTTTACTCATTGAAAACTACAATTTCAAGTTTTTAGTTCAATTGCGTTTTTGTTTTCTTTGTATAAAGTAAAAAATTAAACAAAGCTCAGTGGAGAAAGCGTGTGAAGGAATAACAAGTTGACAGAGTTGCATTTTTGAATTCAAAACAGAAGAAATACCCAATACCCTATAAAACCCGGTTCCGCATCTCACCACACACCCCAAAACTGCTTCTGTGAATTTCCAAGAATTAAAAAAAAAACGTGTTTTGGAAAACTAAGCTTTATATAAATGTATCAAACATTTGCATTTCTTTATTCATTCTAAACGTTTTGAATAAACCTTTTTGTTTACTTATTCTTTAGAAGGGTATCAATCGACGTGTTTTAACGCCAATAATAATAGTCTGTCAGGACAAATTTAACATTTTTATTTAATTAAAGAGTTATTTGCACAAAAAATTGTACTTTTCGCACTATGTTTTGGTGAATTTCACACTAAAAAATGGAGTAAGCGAAGGCAACTTAACATA